ACGCATTTTGGCTCTTGTTCAATACTCGTGGATCCATCTAGAGAGTAAAATAAATACTAATTTTATAAAACACATCAGAAAGAAAAAAATTTTGTAACAGGAATACTCATGCTGCCATCTATTAGAGGAGGTTCCAACACTATTTTTGTGTAATTTAAACAGAATGTCTGCTGAAGTAATATATAAATGTAATATTTAAACACAAGATTCGAACCAGCAATCTCATCTTAACAAAATGTTTTCATGGTACAACGGTTTATAACCGACGTGCTAACCGTTGTGCCATGAACACATACCCGTACAACGAGAATATAAGATTTTATAAAAGTGTGAAGGAAATCTTTTTATCCACCCTTCGTAATAGAATATTATTATTATTTTTTTTAATTCGATTTTCAATTTATTTTAAAATTCGGAATGAAAAGGAAGTTGAATTAGGAGTTTAACAAAACCAAATTAACTCTGTAAAACGTACACTATTTATTAATTTTTTTGTAAAATGGAATATTTACGTTTGGACTACAGGTGAAAATTTTGAACAACTCTCTTTCAATGTAACTTAATCAGAATATATGTTAAACTAATATAAAGAAGAAAAAAAGAGTTTTCAAAAATAGGATTCAAACCAACAATCTCTCAACTGTAATTTTTTTTTCTTTTTTAATGACATAACGGTTTTTGATAAGACGCTAACTGTTGTACCAAGAAAAAATATCCATTTTACACAAATGTAAGGTTTTGTATATCAGTGGAGAAAGATTTCCTTTTACACTCTGTGGAAAAAAAATAAGTCTGATAAATTCTCAATTTTTAAGAGATACATTCTCAAATTTAGTTTTTAAATATGGTTTCAAAATAGATATGTAAGCAGTGTAAAATTAAGATTAACAAAATTATGATTATGATGAAAGATATAAAATAATATGGACAAAAGACAAAATAAAATAAAAACTTTCTTTATTCAATAAATTATTAAGAAGATAAACAAACCGTAACAGAAAATTTCGCTTTATACAATAATGTTCCACTACATCAGGAATTTAAATGGGAACACATAGAATAATTAGCATTCGATTATTGTGAATATAAACAAATTGTTTCACAAACAGGAAGGAAAAAAAAACTCTCCTTAACATTAATGATGAGAGTGAAAAATTGGAGTACATTGAAATACAGGTAACAACATAAAAGTTAATAGTGCCTTTGGGATTTTTTCTTTCATTATTGAATGAGATAAAATACACAGTTTTTATGTGAGCAAATGAATAAAATTAAATCAATAAATATGTAAATAAAATTAATAGAGGTAATGCGAATTAAATGTGAGAATAATTTAAATGTTGTTAATTCTAAAATGACCGTGTGCGAACGTATCGCAGCCATTTTCTAAGATGTATCGTTTGTCGTCAAGAGGGCCAATTTATTTGTCGTAACTGAATAAAGTTGATGATTTTTCGAGATGATGGTTTTCATTTTCTTCCCTCACTCTAGAATTTTCAAAAAGACATTTAGTATAGCTACTATGTTTTAGTTTTTTGTTTCTAACACTCTTCACTACTCCCTTTGCTGTCTTTTTTCCACCATCTTCGCTCAATATAGAGTATAATTTGGAACACAGCCCTACAAATTCAACCACTACTACTCCATTCAACTCATCTTTCATTTTACCAAGAACTTTTTTGTTTACCTGGCTGTGTAAAAAATGGTATTTTGGATAATCAGATGTATCGTATAAATCGATATTTTTCTTCATGTCGTGGTAAACATCTTCTGTTTCGATGTGATAGCATAACGAATCGGTGTCCGCAAATAATAATTTTGCTTGCTCACCATATTTATTTCTAATATGTTCATAATGGAATTCGTACATGAATATCTTACTGTTATCTAAGACGGCAAATCCTGGGTATATGGGACGATTTAAAATTAAGGATGTAACATGACGGAATATAATGACTAGGTTATCATCTATGATATTCAAACTGTTGAAGGAAGGGGAAACTTTAAAGCTTTTTTCTTATCTACTACGATATCAATATTTTTCACGTGGACGCAAATTTTCTGAAGTCTTCCCGAACATGCTATTGTTCATAAGCCTATAGAAATCTTTATCGAAAGAATAAGTTGCCTTTCTTCACATCTCTGTGTTAAAATTTATGAATGGTTGTAACCAAGCTTCTTGTTTGAAACGCAAAATTTTTTGTATTTTTTTCAACTTTTATCCTAATTTTAAATATAACTTTAAGTTTCTATAATGAAGTACATATCTATTCTTATCACATAAATTAGGTATTAGTTTTGAACCGTTTGAGGGATTATTCACATTTAATTCTGAAGCTACTCTTTGAGAATAGGGTGAAAGCATATCTGCTGTAACTTTTAATTGTTTGGGAGAGACAGGTAAATCACTATGTAAATCATGAATTTCCGTTGGATATTTCAAGTCTACTTCGAGAATCATTTCCTCTTCCTGATCATCTGACATATTTAATATGTCACTGACACTTAAATCTAAATTTTGACTAAGANGCTGTTGCCAAAGGGACGAGATGAGCTGCCGAACATGAAGTTTAATGTCTGAGAATGGTACAGATATTGTTAATTCAGTAGTTGCAGATCGTGCTGCAGAATCAGCCAACTCATTCCCTGGTATACCGACGTGACTCGGTATCCAGCAAAATGAAATATCAAATCCCTTCTTGTGAAGAGCGATTAATAAATGATTAATGAAGCATAAGATTGGATGAGTATCGCTGCGAAAATTTTCTAACTGGCTCAAAACGCTCTTACTATCGGAATATATCAAATACTTTCGTTCGGAGCTTGAGAATAGGGTGAAAGCATATCTGCTGTAACTTTTAATTGTTCGGGAGAGACAGGTAAATCACTATGTAAATCATGAATTTCCGTAGGATATTCCAAGTCTACTTCGAGAATCATTCTCTCTTCCTGATCATCTGACATATTTAATATGTCACTGACACTTAAATCTAAATTTTGACACCACCGAAAGTCTTTCGTTGGTAGATGACTCATCATCGCTGTGCCATAGAGGTTATTTTTATCCAGATAAATTATGTAGGAAGAGAGAATGCTAGCGTCGTAACCACCAGTCATGTATTTGTTCTTTGCGCGGGCATACCTATTGGATATCATCGACACGCCACCGCGTACCCCTTTCTCAATAAACAGATGCATTGTAGGGTCAGTTACTGTTTGTCTAAGATAGATACTCTGCCAGACATTCGTCTGGAGCTGTGGCGGTGACTATGGTAACGAGGTATGATTATTTTAAGTAGGGGTGCGTGGTCCCTCCTTGGGACTGGTTTCGGCGAGAGAAAACCTCTTCATCGAAGCTACCCTCCCTAAAATGCCCTCTTCTTGTTTCCATAGCACCAGACTGCCGCAGACTTAGTGGCGGTCAGAGTATCTATCTTAGACAAACAGTAAAAGATGTAATTTCACCTTCGTCATTTTTAAACACGCATTCCAAGCTAAACAGGGGGCGGTGAACACATGCGCCGGATCAATTTCGTAATGCGATAAGCATAAAGTTCTAAATTTTCGAAGACATCGGCGAGAAGGAGCGTGTCGGTCTTTACATATAGGTTGTGATAATCTTTTATAGTTCGCATCGCATATTAAAATTTCGAAAAAACAGAGCGCGCGTAATTGTAATCTGATTCGCTCACCTCTTCTTCATTTAAACTATTATAAAAACATTCTCGTGGGGGTAGTTCAGTTTCATTAAATTTAGTCATTGAATCAAAATATTCGTAAGGGTAAACACCCTTGCGTTTAAAAAGAGGGAGTCAATCGAGAGGGGATTGAGAAGATAGTACACGGAATTCATCTTCTCCTAAATTCGAGCCAAGCTTATCAAGGGAGGCGGGTATGAATTGAAAGGAGTCTGAAAATTGTAAGTGACCGATCGAGAAAGTAATAAACTGTTCTGCATTAGTTCCAATACATGATATTCTTTTATTACCAATTTTGCTCATAGTTTTTATTATGTGATGACTATCATACCCTTTCAAATTATGAAACACTACAGGTATTTTTTTAGTTAACTTATAGTTTAAATTGCAACTGGAATGTAAAGCGCCGCGATATTTAGATGTGAGATGGCAATGATCTCGTACTCTATCATTTTCTAAAGGCTCTTTACAAATATAACAATGCGTTGCATTTAAAAAAGATTCTTCTTCCTCTGCGGTCAATCAAATTGGTTTTTTAACGGAAAGTAAATCTAAGATTAGTTTTTTTTCCCCCCAATAAGCTGTTTATGAAATATTCCGCTGCGTTTTCTCCATGAAATGCAACTGGTGGTTTCAAGCACTTCCCTTCGTAGTCAATGATGACATAAGAATATCCGCACGAAATGTGTTGGGCATCAATTTCAGTATGGGACCCTAAATTTGACGAGTTTTTTTCTAAAATGCACTCAAAATCAGCGTAAATAATATAAGGAATTTTATGCTGCATATGAAAAGCAATAAATTTTAAAATGCGATCATTCTCGTTCGGTATCGTTATTATTTTCCCTACAGTAAATTACGTGATCATCGAGTGCATTTCTAGTGTAAAAACGATGGAGGCAAAAATTGCAATAAAATGATGCTGCTCTATGTGCAGTTAGATGCGATAACAATCTACTCAAATCATGAATGAGACAAAAATGTTGTGTTTCACGTTTAGATATCTGTAAGAGATCAGAGATGCCAACTTGCTCCGGACGGCAAATATATATTTTGAAGTGGTAGTTTATTAATAGTGATTCTTGGCTTAATAAATTCAATTTAGTAGATTTTTATCCACCACTATTTCTAAATAATTCGTAGGCTTATATAATTCATCACTTTGTAGTAGTTATGTCATGCTGCTATACCTTTTAAAAAGCAAGCAAAAATAGTCAAATATTTGCAAAATTTACTTTGTAGTAATTTACCGTTTTTTTTTTAAAATTTATTTTGGCATGTCCGGAGCAGTTGGCATCTCTGAGAGATTGCGGCGGCACCCCCAAATGGGCAGTAACGCTAAAGGTAAGACCGTCGTTTGGCGGAGGACTAGATTGTGGCAACCCTGGGATGTAGGGAGAAAAACATTTCTTTCCTCGCAGTCTGCATTACATATGGCTTAGTGAATGTCGCTGGGGATGCGCCATTTTGATGTTTATTACTAATTAAGCAATTATTATGTAACCTTCTTTAAATATTAAATTAAGCTTAAATATTATGGCTAGCTGGTGATTATACATTATTTTATTTAAAACGTATTTTCTTCTTTTTAGGCACGTTGTACCCCACGTGCCTCATTGGTGACCCTTAATTCTGTTCTCGCTTCTTCTGATTTTTTTATTCGATCTGTTATAATCTTTCTTTAAACGCAACAGCTATGCCTAATTTTTATAAAAATACATTATATAATGAAATTTAATCGCTATCCTCTGTTTATTTTCTTTCTATTTACTAATTATGTGCACATGGATACACACGAGGATTATCGTTTCATTGCGGAAATTTACAGGTATGTGATCGATTATTTTTTCCTATCTGCGATTGGTCTGTAATTGCGTTATGCTATTTCTATTTTATTATTAATATTTATTGCTTTAATTTTTGGTTATTTATGCATTATTAAAATTTCGCCTAACCTGTTTGGTTTCAATCCGACAACGGATTATTAAGCTACTTTTAAATTTCTATTATGATTCAATAATATTATTTAAGGCATTATAAATTTCACTCGACAGTAAGGCATAATTTAAGTGTTTTCGGTTATCAATTTATGTTTATATTTCTTAAAAAATGCCCGGATCGGAAGACCAGACAAATACCGACTACAGAGTCTCAAGTGTCGCATGTTGCGGTTAAAATTCCGCTGTTGTGGAAAAATAACGCTAAACTTTGGTTTATTCAAGTAGAAAGTAATTTCGCCCTCGCTAAAATTATCAGTGATATCACTAACAAGGGAAGTGTGACTCACCAATTTTGAAATAAACTAGTGGAATGTATGCGTTATGGGGAATAATTTTAGGGGGCAACATTCGTTTCGGACCATAGAAGATCCTATGAGAGATAAAAAATAATTCAATATATAGAAAAATCGGTATTTTATTACTTCAATGCAGACAATTGGTTATTGTAATTATCTCAATCCTCCAATTAATTTTGTGGTACTTTCACGTACTATATAATGCATATTTATTGTCAAAATTGATTTCGAAAATTTTATATATCTGTAGTTTTTCAAAAAAACCTGTTAGGTTCATTAAAAAGAAAAAAAAATGGCGTCAAATTTTTTTTTCAAAAAATTTTCCAATATAAAAACAAGTGAACAGTAATAAATTTAATTTATATCAGAGTCGAAATAAGATACGCATTTTCCCAAGCTGATGGAATTTTTTGTCAGTACAGCTTATGTAGCATCCAAAAATGTGATTTATAAAAAATTAATTTTTTTCATATTGTTAGATCTTGTAAAAAAAAGTCTGAAATAATTTATGTGATTGCATAAAATTAAATTGCATTTTTAAAAAAATTTTCAAATTTTTTCCGAGGGAAATTTGAACTAAAAAAATATTTAATATTTCAATCCGATTTTTTTCATAAAAGATCAACTGTACTGTATACACAAAATTTGAGGTGATTTGTTACTTTAAGGTGGAAAATCCGTTGAAACCTATGTCCTGTGAATTGCTCAATATTTTGTTAAAACATTGCTATTTGTATAATATTATTCATGCAATTGTTTTTATATCTGATATCCTAGCTAATTTTTGAAATATTTAACTTTAAAAGTTTGCATCCTCCTATCTTGAAACATAGTCTTGAAACTATCTTGAAAAGAGACTACACGTTTTTGGTCCGTGCTATTCTATATGGCGGCGCTACTGCTACTCTTACCAATGCGTCAAGATTGGAGAATGGATTGGAAGTACGTTATCTATTATAAATTATATAATGTGTTTTTTTGTTATTTTAGAGATTTACGTTACTATTTATCTTTAATGAGATGGAAAATGGATTAGTTGCAAAATAATTAAATATCTTTGATACCTCATTAATAATGCACTTATAGTTGCAATTTAAATATTCTTTGAATATCAGAAATTTTTATTTATTTATAATATGTTTAGAGTCACGTTCTTTAAATTTATTTAATATTATCTAGAAAAAATTTTTGATTTTTTTTTTATTGAAACTCTGAAGATTGTATATATATTCATTCCAAGAAAAATTTTGTCTTTAATACACTTATATTATAAACGAAGATTTATCTTAGAAAATAATTATATAATAACTTCTGTCTCATTATAATCTAGGGAACAAAACGTATTTTTCAAGTATTGCCAAAATACTGTTTAAAAAGGTACATCTTGTATATATATTAAACATTGATTTCTGGAAAATACGCTTTTTTTAAGACTGATTTTTTCGGAACTGTTTTCTTATATTTCGACTGTGATATAAATGAAATTTATATGAGTACTGTTCACTTGTTTTTTATATTGGAAAATTTTTAAAAATTTGATGTCAATTTTTTTTTTAATTAACCTAACAGATTTTTCTGAAAAACTACAGATATATAATATTTCGAAATCAATTTTGACAATAATTGTACGCATTATATGTGACAACAATTGTAACGTGAAAGTACCACAAAATTAATTGGAGCATGAGATAATTACAATAACTAATAGTCTGCATCGAAGTAATAAAATACCGATTTTTCCATATATAGAATTATTTTTTATCTCTCATAGGACCTTTTATGGGCTGAAACCAATGTTGTCCCCTAAAATTATTCCTCATAAGGCATACATTCCACTAGTTTATTTCAAAATTGGCGAGTCACACTTCCCTGGTCTCCCTTGTAAGTACAATCATCTCATTTCTTCCATTGTATCTCATTGCAATTTATTCTACCTACATTTGATGTCGCTAATAAAACTCTGCAGTGTAGAATTCCAAAAATTCATATTTTTAATTCTATGCTCAGAAAATTATTCAGAAATATCCTCTCGAAATTTGTAATCGCCTGTGGAATATTGCATGTCAATACGATCTATGATGTTGATTACCACAAGAGAGAGAACCAAAAAGAGGATGAAGATCTGGTTATTGGAACTGCTACTGGAAAGATTGTGTCTGAATTATCGAAAGAAGAACATAAGCAGTTTTACATTAATATCAGAAAATACTTATGCAGGGCATGTGACTATATTTTGCATAAATTTCCCATAAAAGATGAAGTTGTGCTGCATGCTCAAGTAGCTGATGTTTCAAGACTTCAGCAAGCTCCTTTTTCGGATCTTAAGTACTTTATTAACAGATTTCCCATTTTAGTTAAATTGATTTTACCAGATAAAGAAATTAATACCGCAGTAGATATCCTACAGGCACAGTTTTGCTCTCTCCAGTTAGAAGACTTAACTGAAATAGACACTCAGTGGGGTTCCATAGGAAAAATTAAAAGTGCTGATGGAAACTTGAAATATAGTGACATTTCAAAAGTAATGTTATCGATTTAAACTATTCCGCATAGCAATGCGGAATGTGAAAGGATTTTCCGTATTGTGACAAAAACAAGAACCAAATTTCGACCCAACTTAACTAATGACACACTAGAAAAAGTGTTGTTAGCTAAATCTGGCCTACATGGAAATTGTTATGACCAAGCATTTGACTCAGCTTTCCTACAAAAAGCAAAATCTGCTGTTAATGTTTACAATACAAAAATGATCTGATAATCTTTTATATGTGTAATTTTTTGCCCAGTGGAAACTACTTTATCCTTTCTTTTAAAATGGTTTCCCCCCCCTTAAGGTCCTAATTATATTTTTATGTGTTAGCATTGATGTACTGTTATATATTAACAAATAAAATGTTAATTTTTAAATTTTAATACATATAAGTATTGGTTAAGATTGATTTCCTATGTCGTGAAAAATCTCCTGATTTTTGACTTTCATAACTTGGCATCTCTGCAATAGCGACTGTCGATCAAGACTTGTCGACAGTCGCTCGCTCATGCCGTTTATATATGTTTTCGATAATAAATCAAATTTAAAATTTTTAATACCACCGACGTCTAAAGCTAAAAATATGAAACCTGACTCCTTACAATTATTTGCAGCGAATAACTCTAAAATTTTTACTTATGGCACAAAATTATTGTATGTAAATTTAGGACTTAGGCGACATTTTTCTTGGAAATTTCTAATCGCTGATGTGCCGGTGCCCGTTATAGGAGCAGATTTTTTAAGGAATTTCGATCTTTTAATTGATTTAAAACGCAGTAGGCTTATTGATAATATTACAAAACTATCCAGCACTGGTTCAATTTCTAATCGTGTCAATTACTATTCGGTAAAGCTTATCGCTGAGGATACACCATATCTCAATATCCTTAAAGAATTCCCGGACCTATTAAAAGTGAAAGCTAATTTAAGTAATGTTAAGCATAGCACGGTCCACTATATTGAGACGAATGGACCTCCCGTACACAGCAAACCATGACGATTAGGCCTCAATTATACGAAGAGGTAAAAAAAGGAATTTCAATTCATGATTGAGCAGGGTATTTGCCGACCATCAAAATCGGCGTGGTCATCACCTCTTCATGTCGTTTCAAAAAGCTCTGGTGACATACGCCCAGTAGGTGATTATCGCCAATAAATGCTCGTACAGAGCCGGATCGTTATCCTATCCCTCATTTGCAAGATTTACATAATAAGCTGAGCGGAAGGAAAATTTATTCAAAAATCGATATCGTTCGTGCTTATCATCACATTCCGGTACACCCAGACCATATTCCGAAAACTGCGGTCTGCACACCATTCGGTCTTTTCGAATTTCCGTTTTTAAATTTTGGCCTTTGTGGTGCTGCACAAACCTTACAAAGGTTTATGAATGAAGTTTTAGGCAACTTAAAATTTTGTTACGTGTACCTGGACGATATTTTGATTTTTAGTGTAACAGATGACGAGCATAAAGCTCACTTACGTATTGTTTTTGAAAGGTTAAATTCGTATGATCTTACAGTAAATGTTGCTAAATGTGTTTTTGGCTTACCGAAATTTCTTTTTTAGGACAATTAATGAAAAGGGAACTAAACCCCTACCGAACAAAGTCGAGCCGATCCTTAATTTTCCACTTCCGAAAACAATTAAAGCTTCAGAGGTTTCTAGGATTTTAAAATTTTTACCGTAGATTTGTACCTAATGTAGCCCAAAATCAGATACATTTAACGTCTTACTTAAAGGGAGCAAAGAAAAACGAAGCTTGTTTTGTCAAAAGCGGCGCAAGACGAATTTAAAAATTGCAAAATATTAGTTGCGAGCGCAGTTCTTTTAGCTCACCCTATGAAAGAAGCGCAATTAATTTTACAAGTTGACGCGCCAGATTTTGCAATCGGCGGGGCGCTGTCACAACTAGTTAACGAAAATTTGCAACCCCTTGCATTCTTTTCTAGGTTTTCAAATGCTAGATATTCGTTTCGTTCATTCTTACAACGTGCCCATTTCATGCGCTGGATCTTATGGTACTTCAGAAAAAAACTATGCCTTCCAAAAGATTAAAAAAAGTGAGAATGCATTGTTAATCGTTACGATAAAGGAAATTATTTTAAATTTAATATAAGAAAACTAATAACTTGAAATTTAATGCATCTAAAAACACATATTTAAATACCATTTTTAATTTCTATAGGATAAAAGTAAATGCATCAATGTTTATTTATCTTGATTGATTGATTGAATGTGGGGTTTAGTGGCACAAGGTCCAAAAACGGACATACTNTATTATTATATAAATGATTACATTGATACTTAACATTTAGTGAAAATAAAAATTACCAATTAAAAAAATAAAGCTGGAAAATATATTTTTCCTCAGTTAACATAAGAGACAATTATTACTTGAAAAACTACCTGGTTTAGCAAGTTAAAACTACTGAGAATATACATTAATATTTCATTCCTTTTAATAAATATTGTTATGTGATTTATAGCAAATATATCAAGTAATATTACTTTTTAAATTATATTGGAAAAAAAAAACTTTAACAGTGGACCGAATCATTATGTTCATATTATAGTCTAATCTAACTACAGCCCTCTGAAACATATCAATAACAGTGAAGTAGAAATATATAGTAACTCCTTAACATACAAAAATTGCTATTTTAGTTTGAAAAATTACATGACAATCAGCAACTGTTTAGATAATTGTTTTTTATTTGATAAGAATTTTGCATTTTATAGCATAAATAACAGCAATTATAAATAAAATTTTGATGATGAGTTAATTAACTCTTTTTCCCCCAAATTTTTTTTTTAATTAAATCCCTTTTTAAGTGATTGCTTTTGTTTGCTATATCTTTTATGTTTGCTATATTTAGTCGTTAGTCCATCTTCAAACATCTTGTGACAAATCCTATTTTTTCTTCTTTGCAAGCACAGAATGTAAGTTTTGAATATATTCCCTTCCAGTTTCTCTGATGTTGTAACACTTACATATACTAATAATCGTCGTTAGAAAAACAGTCACCTTTATAGTAACTAATTAAAAAAAAATTTACTTCTTACAAGAATCGCGATAGTTGATCTTAAAATTGCGTGAATATGAATAACAATTATGGATTTTGAAATCACATGAATATGAAACTAGATATACGATTTTGAAAATAAGAAAATACAAACTGGGGTATAGAATTTTTGAAACGCGTAAATACAAATCACGATTCATAATTTTTAGATCGTGTAAATACGAATCATGATGCGTAATTTTTAGATTAAATAAATAGGAATTATGATGTGTAATTTTTAGACAGCGTGAATGCGAATCCAAATGCCTTATTTTAAAATCACATATAAATACGAAAATCAATGCTTGATATTACAAACCGCATGAGCAAATCAAGACATTGAATTTTAAAATTGCGTGAATACCAATCGCTACATAGGTTTTTAAAAAAGCGTAAATACGAATCACAATACCGGGATTTTAAGTCTCGCAAATAAGAATCGCAACGTACAATATTCAAATCGCGTGAATAAGAATCGCAACACGCAAATACGAAAAACTATGTTTGATATTAAAATCGTGTGAATAAGAATCGAGATATTAACAGATTCCAGGCTTGGGACCTCTAAAAGGCTTGTCAGAAGCAGCGTCGTTTGAACTACGAAAATCGGATCTATCTGGAGGGCGGGAAAAAAATTCGGAAAATCTTTTCTGCTGCGTGTAAAAGAGGAGAGAATAGCTAAAATAAGTAAAAATGAGAAAGGATTGGTAGCTATGTAGTTTGAATTTTCTGTTTCTCTTTGAAAATCGGTGAATTTTCTGAAAAAGCGGAATACTTATAAAAAAAAGTGAAATTTTTAGAAAACCTGAATTTTTGATAAAAAGGCTGAAATTCGAGAGATAAAAGTGAAAAAAGCGGAAAAATCTCATCCCTGATTATAAGAAAACTAATAACTTGAAATTTAATGTATCTAAAAACACATATTTAAATACCATTTTTAATTTCTATAGGATAAAAGTAAATGCATCGATGTTTATTTATCTAAAAAAAAAAAACAGTAGACTAACTTTCCAAAATTTCATCAAAGGCAATGGATACCAAACTAAAGCAATTAATTTATTTGTAAAATCATTTACTTAAATGAATGTTTTATTTTATATTCTTTGTTCTGTATTTTTTACTTGATACGTTTTATTTTCGTTTAAAATTTTTTTCGGGTTCTCCTGACACTATTATATTGATATTATTTCGTTTCACCTATATTGATAAAATGTTAGAAAGCACTCTTTTTTTCTGTGTGTAATCGTGTGAACTGATAACCAGATTATATTTTTTCATTACTTTCTTTTTCGGTTTTTTGAAAAAATTTTTCTTTCTTTTAAAAAAATCATATACATATATATATATAATTTTTTTTTTAATTATTATTGAGTGCTCCTCACACCACTGTATTGATATATTTTGCTTTGGCCATAATAATACAATATTAGAAAGTACTCCTTTTTACGGATATAATCGTGTGAGCTGATGAAAAGATTTCTTCTACTTTCCGGAATTTTTTTTTATTCCTTTTTTTCGGATTTTTTCTGGTTTCTTGTTATTTTTTATTATTTTTACCCTTTTCTCATTGTCGTGTAATTTTTTCCATGTTTTCTCTGCATTTTAGAATTTATCTATATATATATATATATATATAAATAATACACACATAATGAAGGCACTGAAATTTGGTTACTCTTTTACAGGTACCTAGCCACCGGTGCAAGTTTCGGAGAGTTGTATTTCTGCTGGGCAAAACAACTATGAGAAACATAGTTAGAGAGACATGCAAACATCTGTGGACGGTTTTAGCTCCCATTTTTATGGCACCTAAGACGGAAGAGGATTGAAAAGCAATAGCCGAGTAATTTTTCGAGATTACAAATTTCCCAAATTGTCTAGGTGCCATAGATGGGAAGCACATGCGAATTGAAAAGCCTGAAGGAACAGGATCACAGTTTTTCAATTATAAGGGATATCATTCAATTGTGCTATTGGCCCTAATTTATGTGCATGTGCTGCAAAGTGCTGTTTCACGGCAGTGGATGTTGGAGCCTTTGGTTCCGCAAGTGATTCGGCGGTTTTTTGAGCCTCGAATTTCGGCAAAAAATTGAAAGCCAAAAGTCTCAACATTCCAAGTGTGGAAACTCTGCCATTCGACAGAGACGGTGAAAAAATGCCTTTCGTCATTGTAGGTGACGAGGCTTTCGGTTTGTCACAAGACGTACTACGGCCTTTTCGAGGCAAAGAGCCTTTAACTACCGCCTTACTACCTTAGGGTGGTTGAGTGCTCATTTGGTATCTTAGCTAAAAAATTTTATCGATGTGGGGATAGAGTTTGCTATAGAAATTGTAATGGCAGTCAGCATTTTGCATAATTTTGTAAGACACTTCGATGTGATCGAGGAAGAAAAAGAATTGTCTCTTTGTTCCATGAGCAGTATTAGAATTCAGGGAGAAAATAATACTGCCATTGGGGGCTCTGACAATATAAAAGAATATTTTGCCGAGTACTTTGTATCACCCTCTGGCTCCGTCTCTTGGCAGTATAATAAAATATAATTATATATCAAACAATTATATTTATTATTACTTTTTGCATTATTTACATTAAATTACACTCAACGCAAGCAAATTATTTTCAAACCTTGTATTAATTTAAATGTATATTTAATAGAAATGAAAAATTTTAAGAATATATAAGTAAATAGTTAAAATATTTTCCATTTAAGCTCATTCTTATAAAAATGCGAGTGAGAGAATTTAGCACAGTCAATTTCTTTAAAAAATAAATACCATAGTCATACTACAATATGAAACACTGTTATTGTTAATTCCTGCTAATCATGTCTTTATTTTTATTTCAAAGCTTTCAAAATTTTGTTTCATTATACTGTAAGCCTCGTCACCTACAATGATGTAATTTTATTCCCGTTTCACTTCCTTCTTTTTATAGGATATGTAGTAAATTATGTAAATATATTATTATTTAAATAGTATATCATTATTATTTTGTTATGTAAATATAAATGCTCATGACTTTTTTTAATGTAACACAATATATTGTAAAGTAATGAAAAATGCTAGGTAAGACTTTAGTTCATAAGTCTTTTGTCTTTAATAAATAAATACTGATTATAAATTAACTCAAATGACATATTTTATTATTAAGATGGCCTTATGAAAGGACTATATATATATATATATATATTTTTTTAATGAAATCAATTCAAGTATGATTAAATTAATAAAACAGAAGTAAGAATTTTTTTTTGTTTTGTTATTTCTTGACAAATATTTCTACTATTACTTATCATTCATACTGTTAATGCACACTTTATAATAGCAATAAAATATCATTTGCTTAATCGCAAATTTTTTTAAAAAAATATTAATCTTCACATTTAGTGTGTATATAATTGAATTTTTAAGCATTCAAATCATATTTATTTTTGTTGCTATACGCAACGGAAAGCTTTTTTATTAAACATATGCTATACTTTGAAAACTTCAACCAGAAAACCTTTGATTTTAACTTTTTAAATTAAAAAAAACCTTTGAAATCAAATTTTTTTAAATTATTTTTTTTGTGTAGCATCCTCTTGAAGAAATAAGCTTTTTCCTTACATATATATGTATATATAATCCAAATAATTAAACTATGTTTTTAAATAGGAGAAAGAAAATTATTCAGTCTGAATAAAACAATTGGTGCAAATTCCGATATTAAATTTACCGCAGTATTGAAATGAAAAAAATTATTTAATTAAAAAATAATAAAATTTAAAAAATTTTTTATACATACTTTAAAAAAATTTACTATACTGTATATAAAATAAACAAACGCACACTCATATAAATATATTTTTAAAAAAGTGATCTTACCTGCCTTAACTCTTTCTGTTGTTGATAGTTGATGAAAATCAGGACACAGCTGTTTGTAAACTTCCTCCCATGTATTTTTTTTCAAATCTCTATTTTTATAGTCTACCCGAGATTTGTCGTATAAATTCGGCCTATCTCTTAACAACTCTTTTAAGTTTTCTGTAAATTCAGAGGAATCGTAATCCATAATGAGGGTCAAAAGAGAGAGAATAAAATATCGCTGAAGCTTAAAGAAAATGGAGGTATATTCTTTGGCTTAAACACAAATGGTTAGAAACCTTTCAAACGGTATGGTTTATATAGTTAGTTTCTAGAGTGTGTAGAAAACTTTCCCTGTCTATCAGTGTTATTTTCTACAATGGGAATCGTAAGAAAATGGGGGGGGGAGATGGTCACACATGAGNAAAAGGGGGGGGGGGGGAGATAGTCACACCTGAGCACACTTTAACGTTAGCAAATTGTGCCTGAAGAGAAATGCAAACAAGATTACATGAAACAATGTTCTTTGAAATACCGAAAGTGATAGAATGGGCTGCATCTGAACACAGGACTTGGTAACCATTTTAAAGCATGATTAGTCAATACTAGACATTCTGTATTCACAAAGGCACAGATTGTGGGATAATTGCATTTTAGAGATAAAATTATACTAATGGCACTTATTCTTGTATAGATGATACTTATTCTTGGCGTCAAACAGAATTTGAAGTTATTCGATCGATATTCAATCAATAAGAAAACTGATCATTTTAGAAGTATTACATTTCTTTTTAAATAATAAGTAACTCCAATTTAAACCCAAAACATTCTTATTACAAAATTAAGGAAATAAATACATAAATTTTTGCGAAAACCCAACGCTTAAGAGCATCAATCGCATTATATATATATAATCTGAATTGACAAAATGAGTTAACAGAGTGTAATTATTAATTTGTCTGGGGGAAATAAAGGCGGAGTGCCCCTCCTCAAAAAATGTAATTTTCTTAAAAATAGTAAACACATTTAAGAATAGTATATCTTTTAGCCAGCTAGCAAATAAAATATATACATTAGTAGAGGGAAATGGGGGTTCTGCCGCAGCAGAAGAGGTACAACTAAACATTTCAGATTCGGCTGCTGCCGCACCAGGAGAAATACCACTCAACAATCTATGACGACAGGGGTTGTTCTGAGACTGTGAGATCTCTACTTTAGATAGGGTTTTATCAGATGGTTTATTTTTATCTCTTCTTTAGAAAATGAAAGAATTATTTTTATTTTCGGGACTTAGAAATTATTCGCAATCTAGTATATTTTGATTATGTTTTAAGTAATTAAATTAATGCACGAATTATTATTTTCCCATTAAAGTATTACATTGATTCAATTTCTAAATGAACCCTTCTTTAGAGATTACTCTTTTATTGATTTTAAATGATATGTTTAATAATTCTAAACTGATGAAATAGTTTTATAGACTGAGTGTCTATGTGTAATTAGTTGATATAGCAAATGAGTGATTATCATTCTAAGAGATAGGTATTTAGTTGAATAAAATAGTGTATGAATAACTTGATGAATTTTCTTTCTCGTTATCAGTGATATGCTGTAATTATTAACCATTAAAATTTTTTTTCGTTAACATTAATTTGATTAAGAAAGTTTTGGGAAATATCGATAAAATACTGGCGCCTTCACCATTAACCTAAGAATGTTAAGTAAACTCATAACGTCACTTTAGAGATGGAATTTTCGATAAGTATGTCTCGTTTTTAATCTCGTGTGCACCGAAACTCTTCTGATTGGTTGTTAAAAGCTTCAAAAGCTCTACAGTTCAGTTTGCATTATAACTTTTGTAATGTTCCTTAGTGACATCCCACGAAATTTTCCTACTCTTAACCATGAAACGTTCTTTTGGTGAGATGGAGGATATCTTCGGTCACCTAAAACCATCTACCTCTGCGGAAAGCGTTCCAGCATTGCCTAACCATCACGGAGGAGCGAATTATGTTGCTGTCGCCTTCTATGTTAATCATGTGCTAATCCATTTGAGGGAATATCTCACTGGAGAAAACAACTCTCTCTGTGGCTTTCTTTTGTTAAGGAATTCGAAAATGAATCTTCAATGGAAAGTCCCGTCCTCATTCTCGAAGACACTCTGCTAATTGCAAAAGCTGATCTAGATATCGGGCTTCACGTTACTTTACAAAAATACTTCCTCCGAAAAAATTTTACCGGAGAGTTTACAAAATCAATGTGCACGCTTTCTGATACCGAGTTTTCGACACTCTGACAAAGTGTTTCAAGAGAAAGTTTCGGGTAGCATAGCGACCTTGCTATTACAACACACACTCCCTTGCATTGTGTTAGATGAAGTAAAGAAGCGTCCTCCTTCACCACCGCTTCCTGAAATAGAACTTTCTGATGTCGACGTGGTGTTGACGACTTCCTTGCTGGAACTTGTGAGAGTGAATATCGCATCGAGTGTAAAAGCTCTTTTTAACTCTTTCGGCTGTGACGAAAATTACGAAAACCAACTCGGTCATGAATGTATTACGCTAAGTCACGAACTGAAACTGCTAAGATGTGGAGATTTGATATTCTCAAACTTTGACTTTGTGCAATTATCACAAGATTTTTCTTGAAGCGAACGCACAGATTTCAAACTATATAAATAAGGATTTACTTTCGAATTAAATGTTTCAAATTTGATCAGGAATGCGAAAGAACTGTTCATTACTTCGGATCCTCATCTTTTGAATTTTATATAGTGTATAGAGTTTAAATTCTATGTATGGGATTTTGTGGATTGAATTTCGCGAACTTAGTTATGTACATTTTCTTCAAACTTTCATGTGTATATAGTTAAGCATATATTGTTTATGAATGCATAATATAGCATGTGTATATTTTAAATCACGATTTTCTTTTTTAAATAAATATATATATATTTTTTTTTCATTTACAATTTGTTTTAATTTATAAATTACTTTCATTTTTAAGTTACTCTCATTTTTGATATACTCTTTCAGAAGGTGACATATTTATTTTTCAGCTGTGTTAGAATGCAATTGGACGATTTACATAATGATCCCGCACAACCTGGAAGTTTCGGTGGGGTGGAAGCTTTGTACCGATCGATGAAGGGAAGAGTTTCTCGTAAAGAGATAAGAAATTGGTTATCTACCCAAAATTCGTATACTCTCCATAAGGGTGTGAGAAATAATTTTTCACGAAATAGAGTCATGGTGAGTGGAATGAGTATTCAATTTCAGGCGGACATAGCGGATTTAAAGGGGATTGTAAATTTCAACGATGACTATCGATAAATCTTAACGTGCATCGACGTCTTTTCAAAATACGCATGGGCTTTCCCACTGAAACGAAAGGACAGCCTGAGTATTATATCCACATTTAAAGAGAGGAAACCTATAAAATTACAAACAGTCCTCTAATGCTAGTCAGAGGGAAATAATAGAAAGGAGTCCCCTACATAGGAGCGCATTGGATGGAGGATTCAGAATTCACATCCTCCACAGCAGTAAGAATCACGATTTGACATTGATTTATCAGCCACGAAATGGTATCTTTGTGTAAAAGCTCTTTTCTCCAGAACTGCTCAGGATGGAGAGCGCTGAGTAGCCACCTCGTCTTTCCGCGGCTGTAACACCATA